TTGTTTGAATTTCCTGTTTATAAGAGGATACAAACATTGTATATATTTGTTACATTTGGCTTGAATGCCCTCAATGTGATCTTTAAAAGTTAATTTTTGGTCAAGTACCAAGTACCAAGATATTTCACCTGGTTTGACCAGGAAATTGGAACTCCGTTCATAGTGACTATGTGACTACTACTAGGTTTCAAAAAGGAAGCTCTAGGTTTATGTGGAAATATTATAAGTTGAGTTTTGGAAGCGCTGGGAGAAATCTTGCATTTTTGTAAATAAGAAGAGAAAACATCTAAACTTTTCTGCAGTCTGCTGCAAATAACACGAAGACTTCTTCCTTTAGCAGAAATGCCTGTGTCATCAGCGAACAAAGATTTGTGGCAACCCTGAGGCACATCAGGGAGGTCCTGTGTGAAATTATTATACAATATAGGCCCAAGAATGCTACCCTGAGGAACTCCTGCTCTAACAGGTAGTCGATTAGATTTGGAATTTTGATAATTTACCTGCAGAGTTCTGTCAGTTAAATAATTTTGAACTAATTTCATAATTGATTTGGTTGTTCGATTGGTTGTATGGAAATTTCGTTTTTATGGCTTTCTCAGTCTAGGGTAATTCAAACAGTTAGTTGTGCATTACAATGCACAACTGACTGTTTGAATTACCCTAGACTGAGAAAGCCATAAAAACGAAATCTAATTTCATAATATAAAGTGGAAAATTAAACTTTTTTTCAATTTAGCAATCAAACCTTCATTCCAAACACTGTCGAATGCTTTTTCTATGTCTAGAAGAGCAACTCCAGTTGAGTGGCCTTCAGATTTGTCTGAACGAATTAAATTGGTAACTCTTAAGAGTTGATGAGTAGTTGAATGCCCATGGCGAAATCCAAACTGCTCATCTGCAAAAATTGAGTTCGTATTGATGTGAAGCATCATTCTATTCAAAATTATCTTTTCAAAAAGTTTACTTATTGAAGAAAGCAAACTTATTGGGTGGTAGCTAGAGGCTTCAGCTGGATTTTTATCCGGCTTCAAAGTTGGAACAACTTGTGCATTTTTCCATTTATCAGGAAAGTATGCCAAATGGAAACATCTGTTAAATAATTTTACCAAGAAAGACAAGGTACTCTCTGGGAGTTTTTTGATGAGGATATAGAACATTCCATCATCATCTGGAGCTTTCATATTATGAAACTTTTTAGTTATAGACCTTACTTCGTCCAAATCAGTCCCCCAGGAATCATCAAAAATATTTTCCAGAGAGAAAATATTCAGAAAATCCCGAGCAACCTGATTCTCAATAGGACTAGTAAGACCCAAACTGAAATTATGGGAACTCTCGAATTGCTTAGCAAGTTTCTGAGCTTTTTCTAAGTTTGTGATCAAAATTTTAGCACCTTCTGTAAGCGCTGGAATAGGCTTTTGAGGTATTTTCAAAAATTTTGTGAGTTTCCAAAAGGGTTTGGAACTCGGGTCTAACTTAAAAACATTATTTTCAAAAGTTTTGTTCCTCAGGGAAGAGAATCGCTTTTTAATTTGTTTTTACAAATCCCGCCAGATAACTTTCATGTCAGGATCACATGTTCTTTGATATTGTCTCCTACGGACATTTTTAAGACTGATCAAGAGCTGAAGATCTTCATCTATTATAATTGAATCGAATTTAACCTCGCATTTTGGTACTGAGGCAGCTCTTGCTTCAACTATAGAAGTAGTCAGAGATTCAAGAGCATAATTAATTTCATCTTTGGTTTGTAAAGGAATGTTTGGATCGAAGTTATATTCCATAAATGTTCAATATTGCTCCCAATCAGCTCTATGGTAATTGAAAGTAGAGCTGTTGGGATTAGAAATTATTTCTTGGGATATTTCAAAAGTTACTGGAAGGTGAACAGAACCGAAGTCAGCATAAGTAACCAATTGGCTACAAAGTTGACATGAATCAGTTAAGACCAAATCAATAGTTGAGGGATTTCTTGCTGAAGAAAAGCATATTGGTCTGTTTGGATATTAAACAGTGTAATAACCTGCAGAACAATTACCAAACAGAATGTTACAATTTGAATTATTTTGAGTGTTATTCCATGATCGGTGTTTTGCATTAAAATCACCAATAATGAAGAATTTAGACCTATGACGGGTAAGTTTCTGAAGGTCACCCTTGAGAAAATTCTTTTGCAGGCATACGCATTGGAATGGCAAATAGGCAGCTATAAACGAAAGTTGTCCAAATTTAAAAAACTTTGGTTTCAAATGAAGAAAGAATTTTATGTTTGATTCGTCTATCAACAATGATGGCAACGCCACCACAGGGACCATCAAGACGATCATCTATATAAATAAAATAATTTGCGTCCTTCTTAACCTTATGGTCAGGTTTAAGGAACGTTTCAGTTATAATGGCAATATGCACGTTATGAACTCTCAAAAAGTTAAATAGCTCGTCTTCATTATCTTTAAGAGATCGAGCATTCCAATTTAAAATATTTAATGCTTTAAAATCCATTACTGAATTTTAAAGTCATGACAATATTGTTTGCAAATTTTACTCCAGTTTGAATAGCATCAAACATGGAGTTAGATTTAAGCATTTCAGAAATCATGTATATTAATGAATTCTGTAAAAATTCCATTTTAGGGGCAGTAATGCTTCCTAAGACAAAATTGTCAAAATTTCCGTTAGAACGTTGGTTAGTATTTTGATTTATAACCACTGCAATAGCAGCATAGGTAGCTCCATTAACTCGCTGAACATTGTTAGCAGAGAGGGGAGTAGGTATAGATGAAAAATTTGAAGCAGGGGTGATATTTGTACCTACGGGTACGAACGTAGAATTTGTTCCTCGCTGACCGTTGTTAAAAACAGAGGAATTTGTACCTGGTCAGAAACATGGAGCGTTTCCTAACTGTCGATTAGAACGAGATTGTAGGATCGCTTTCCGAGTCTTACATTCCCAAATATTGGATTTGTGGTTTTCACCACAATTTGAACATTTAAATTTCTTAGGATCTTCCTTCACTGGACAGTCGTCCTTTGCGTGAGAGGAATCACCACAATTCATGCATTTAGCTGGCATGTAGCAATTTTTTGAGGTTTTGGAAATTTCCTCCAGTCTTCCTGAAGTGTTCCCACTTCACTCGAACATGGAGCATAAGGCTAGCTTTTTCTAAGGCGTTAAGGTTGTTTAGTTCACTAGACTTGAAGTGAGCTAAATAAAAATCATTGGAAATCCCGTTGCGCGAATCGCCAGGACGGGATTTTATTTTAATTTTGATTACTTGTAGGGGCACAACTCCAAGTAATTTTGCCAGTTCATCTTTGATCTGATCCAGGGATTCACCATTGGGCAGTTCCTTCAAGACAACCTTGAACACACGTTCAGTTTTGGTGTCGTAAGTAAAAATTTTGTGCTGCTTCTCAGTAAGATACTTGAGAAGACATTTAAATCCGTCCAAGGTTTCAGCCAATACATTCACTCCGACGTCCAATGTGTAGTGAAAACTTAACTTTCACGAAGTTCAAAAGTTCCATGCGAAAAGCATGGAAATCAGAAGTGGTTATCACAATAGGGGGAATTTTTTCCTTCTTGGCATTAAGCCGGGAAAGTTTACTAGAATTTTTCTTGGATGATCGATCATTCTCATCATCCGTGAGCAAATCAAATTGATTACTCAAATTAATTTCATCAGAAGGGGGATCAAGAGTTTGCCCCTTTCTTTTGCATTTAGGCGCCATGGCGGCAGTAAATTTTTATCCAAATCGACTTCCAAGCAGATTACTATAAGAATCTGAAGGATCGAAGAGGAATTTTCTAAATCGATATCCAAGAAGAATTACCTCGGGTAGGGTCCAAACAAGGATCGAAAAGGAATAAGGTTGTCAGTTTGTTGATTTATAGCGTCAGTAACATGGTCACGATGCACGATAGTCTAGTCGTATAGGAGTCTAGAGCGAAAACCCAAACCTTGATAACTTCAAAAATAATAAACTAAAAATCGAAAAAACACTCCTTCACTGATTTTTTGATATGTTGTGTAAAAAAGCCTAAATTTTTAAGGAAAAATATAAAAAACATATCGTGCCATCTATCTACAAAACTATAAAAACAAATACAATCAATTGTTTTTCCATACAAAATACCAAGTATTTAATATCATTATATTTTTCCTAAAAATATTTTCAATTACTTTTCATTTTAAATTTTGATCTTTGAAATAGGCTCTATGGTTCAGAAGTCATGATATTTTTTTTTTTTGGAGCACACTAACATGGAAAAGGTCTCCCTAATGACAAAATCAAAAATACTCGTCGAATATTTTGCGATACGTAACAAAACTACAAATTTTTACCAAAGAAAAAAAAAGTTTAAACTTAGAATGTCTTCTCATTCCAAGAAGTCCTTTGCAATGAATCTATGTAATTTACTCATTTTAAGCTGGCGAACAAATTCGGATCTTCTGTATTATTGAGAAGCAGCACCAAATGTTAAATGCCACTCCAGTGAATAAGAAACATCCTGTTAAATATCATCCAGTAGACGGATTTCAATATGATACTTTTTGAAAACTTCTCTGGTTCTCTGGTTCACGATAGAGTCAATCTGCATGCCCACAGATTTTATTTTATTGATGTATTTCGTCAACCAATCAATCAATTATCTGACTGTACACTTGTTCTAATAGTAATTTACTGCGCAGTATAGTTAAGTACTCAAGTGCCATTTAAGCAACTGAATCAAAATTGACTGCTTTTATTATTGGACTATATTTATGTCCTCACACTTGCCCTAGCCACGTAAATATTCCATGTGTCAAATTCCCCAGGACGCTCAAAATTTTACTAATTAAAACTTTACCACATATCGCAATTGACCACCACCACCACCGGCAACAATCCGACAATGCAGTAATTAGAAAGTTTAAATTATGTGTCAACTACCACCGGCCGCCCCCGCGCATTTAGGTTCAAGCACATCAGTTTAATTAAATAGGTAGAACACTCACATCCAGCATTTCTTGGTCTGGCCCGGTGTCCTGTGACAGCACACGCACAAATCACAATTACCGCAATTAAACTTTTCATTCTCGATCGTCGTGTCACCGCGTTGTTGCACAATTGTAATTCGAATTTGAACTAACTTTCGCTTCCTACCCACGTAACACAACGTCCACCGCCAGACAGTTAACGGACGCGAATGTTTTATCCACCTTATGTGGTCGACACACAAATGGACACAAAATCAAGTGCAGAAGAAAAAAAAAAGACCATTCAAAACCACACCGATAATGTGGGGAAGGAGTTCGTGCCCGGAAAACAGGTTGGCTCCAACTTTTAATTGGCCTGACTGGCAGATTTCAATTATTGTGTGCTAGGTACCCGTATTCAGTGTATTCCAGGGAGCACGCTAATCGCAATTATTATATGTTATTGAAACGAATACGATAGGGAGAGCAGAATAATCATCACTGCAAGAGTGTGTTTGTTCTCTCGATCGCAGTATTTATTTGAAGACATGAATCTGCCGGATTTCGTTCACACGACTGGACAAAAGTTTACTCGGATCATCAGTATGACGTCCGAGCGGTTTGAGTTACGTAAATGTAAACAAACTTTCCCGTGGTAGTTACACCATGAGCCATGGAATTCCCAACAAGTTTTTGCGGTGAAAGTTCCGATTTCTCAGTTTGGATGGTTTATGGGGAAATATTTTCAGATCAATTTATGTGACTTTATCAAAACTACACCCAACCGGTAAATAAAAGATTCTATTACATATTTTCTTGAAAAGTCGGCAGAATTTGCAATATTTCGCGACATGAACAAGTTTTGCAATGTAATTCCCGGAAAGTTTTTAAAATATTTTTTTTATTTCAATGATAGATTATTTTTGGAAGCAATCTCCAAATGCATTGCGTCTAGAAAATTATCTCGTGAAGGTTTTATACAAAAATATGCATTTCGATGCTAAAACTTTCATTACATTTGTGGTATGAAACATAGCAGAGAAATTTGTTTTGCGTGTTCCTATATGCGTCCAAAACATGGCCTCTCACGGCTATCTTGAAGAAAGGCTTGATGATGCAGATTTCAAAATGTTGAACGACGTGATATATTGTATTTCCAATTAAGCACCGTAGAACGGGGTAGCTTTGCACTGGCGTGCACAGGGTGGGGCAAGGTGGGCAAATTGCCCCCCCTTTTTATAAATAAGATTTTTATTTCCACATTTACAAAATTATAATATAAAATAACTTGATTTCTTGATAACTTGATTTGAAGGTAAAATAACTTTATTTCATAATATAATGGCACTGAAAACCATTTATTGCGTCAAATTCTTTGAGATAGTGCCTGAAAATTGCACCACAAAGGTGCATGAAGGGACAAACCTCAATGAACTTTTTTGGTCAAAATATTTCTGGTGTAATTTTTTTTTTCAATGGTGTTCATGGAGGGTTAAAAGAAGAGGGTAAATTTAAGGTGGTGGTAATTCAATGAAAAAGTTTTTTTTTTATTGATTATTTCTGGTGTAAAAATATCATCAAGGTGGTGCATGGAGGGACTAATCAAAGTTAATAACTCTGGTGGAAAAAATTGAATCACGCTAAAAATTTGGAGGTGCACATTTAACTGAAAATTTCTGGTGGAAAGTTCGCAACACTGTGGTGAATGTAGAAGCAAGGTTTATTCATTTTTCTGGTGTTAATTTCCATCGTTCTGATGAATGCAATTGAAAATTTATGATAACGGCGCCGGTGGTGTAGTGGTAAGCGTGATTACCTCTCACCCCAGCAGGCCTGGGTTCAATCCCAGTCGGCGCCGCCGAGATGTTCTGAGGCATAACATCTCTGATCACGCCTTCCTTCGGATGGGAAGTAAAGCCGTTGGTCCCCGGTTCATGAGTTGATGGGTCGATAGGTAGGGTCCAGGTGTGAGAGCTGCCTTCCTGGCACGTCGGTAGCATTGGTGCTCAGCACGGCAAACAAGATCGACAGAAAAAACAAACCAAAGGAAAAAAGAAAATTTATGATGCCAAATTGGCACCATTCTGGCGCATGAAGAGGCAAAGCCTGAAAATTGCACCACAAAGGTGCATGGTGAAACAAACTTCACTTACAATTTTTGGTGCACCATTCTGGTGAATGGAGGACTATGCTTTATTGAAAATTTCTGGTGCAAAATTTACATTGCTCTGATAAATGAAATGAACAGAAAATTTCTGGTGGAAAACTTGTACTGGTCTGGTAAATGAAGGTACAAGCTTTATTTATAATTAAGCCATATTGAAAATTTCTGGTGGAAAATCTGCACTGTTCTGGTGAAAGGAAAGGCAAGCTTTACGAAAAATTTTTGTTCTCAATTTGCATCCTGCTGCTGAATAAAGAAAAAACTTTAATAATGATTGAAAATTTCTGGTGGAAAATGGAAATGGAATGTTCAATTTAAATTTTCAGTGAAAATTTCCTGGGGGCAAGCGAGGGGGGCGACTTTATCTACGATGCAGGAAAAATTGCATGCACACTGAGTAGATAGAAAGAAGATTGTTGACGATTCTGAAGATTTCCAGCAAAAAGATGATGTGCTATGCAAGTAGATGGGAAAAATGATTAAAGATTTTTCGAAGATTGATTCACTAGCGTGAGATTTGTTGAGCATCTAGAATTGAGATTTTGATGTGTCACCCCCCTCGGGGGCAAGTTTGTATTGAAAATTTCTGGTGTAAGATTTGCAACAATCTGCCGCATGGAGGAAAAAGCTGAATTGAACATTTCTGGTAGAAAAACTACAACTTTTTGGTGAATGGACGGACAACTTAAACTTGACTTCCGAGAAAAACCTCAAGAGTATTGAATTCTGAGGACAGTTCCAAAAGAAAATATTTCTGGGGATGATTCCATGAAAATTCCGCGAATAATTTCTAGTGAATCCTGCAGATAGTTCCAAGATAATTTCGAATATAATACCGAGAGAATCAAATTTTGAATGAAATTCTAAAGAGTTGTTGAGGAAAATTAAAAAAAAATTCCGAGGATAATTTCAAGCTCATTCTGGGAAGAATATTTGGAGAATACAGAGTAAATTTTTCTGAAACTTAAGGGGAATTTCAACTCCAAGGTGTTCTGCGAAAAAAAAAAGTTCTAAAATTTTCCGAGAAGAACCTCAAGGATATTGAATTCTTAGAGCAGTTCCAAAATATTTCTGGGAAGGGTTCAAAGAAAATTCTGCGGATAATTTTTAGTGCATCCTGCCGATAGTTCCAAGATAATTTCGAAACTAATACCGAGAAAATCAAATTTTGAGTAAAATTCCAAAGGGATTTTAAGCAAAATTTCAAGCGAAATCTGAGGATAATTTCTAGCTCATTCCGGGAAAAATTTCTGAAACTCTAAAGGAATTTCTGTTTCAAGGTGTTCTGAGAAAAAAATCATGAAGAGTTCTAAGTATAATTCCAGTGGACTTCTGAAATGAATTTCAAAAGAGCTCTTAGGAGAGTTCTAAAAAATCTGAGAAGAACCTCAAGCATATTGAATTCTGAGGACAGTTCCAAAGCATTTCTGGAGAGTATTCCAAGAAAATTCTTTGAATAATTTCTAGTGAATCCTGCAGATGGTTCCAAGATAATACCGAAAAGAATACCGAGAAATATAAATTTTGAGCAAAATTCCAAAGGGATTTTGAGGAAAATTTCAATGGAGTACCGATAATTTATAGCTCATTCCGGGAATACTTTCTAGATAATACTGAGGTAATGCTTCTGAAACTCTAAGGGAATTTCAGTTCAAAGGTATTCTGAGTAAAAGTCAAGAAGAGTTCTAAAAATAATTTCAGGTGACTTCTGAGAAAAAAAAAAGAGCTCAGAGAGTTCATAAAATTTCGAAAAGAACCTCAAGGAATTCTGAGGATTGATTTTTTGCAACTGTACAAAGTTAAAAGACAGCTTATGGATTCCCTAATTGAAAAGTGGGTATTAGTTTGCCATTTAACCTTGGTCTATTGTTGTCTTACTAAGAATTCGTCTAAGAATCTTCTCTGAAAATTTCAAGACATTTATTACCGTGGTTAAAAAGTTGCAGCTGTTTATTCCTTTATATCGTCTTTAAAACATGTTGAATGTTCAGCATCATTTCCTGTACCGACTTTGGGACAAGGTTGACATGGTCAATCCTTCGCACAAGTCGTAATTCTGTTAACAATCCTGTACTCGCTTGTCAAAATAACTTTTGTGTGCTTTTGTTCCACATTGTACATATAGTTTAAATCTTTTCAATGATCCTATTAGCCTTGGCATTTAGTTGAAAATTTGAAAAAAATTAGAACTACAATTTTCGCTGAAAATTACCAAGTTCAACGTACTCGTACTGTACTGTTGCGGAACATTGCGAAAACCTTCCGAGGAAAACCAGTGGCAATCATTGCAGATGAGACGAGCGATTGTGGCCACCACGAGCAGTTGGTGATTGTCATCAGGTATATTGATAGTGATGGGATTAAATTGCCAATTCCATTGGCTGTCTGAGAGCAGTTTGCATTGAAGAAGATGAACCACCACCGGAGCAAAAAATAGATAAAATGAGCTAAATTGAACAGTAGGGAAACAGTGGTGGGTGGACAGCACCATCCATCACGCACTTTGGAGTGCTCCATATCCCCAGACTAAATGCACCATAGAAGAAAAAATTGCCCCTCTTTAACAAGATTCCTGTGCACGCTAGTGGCTTTGATATTTTGTTGAAGTATATTCTAAACATGTTTTACAACAATGAATGTTTTTCAAATATTTACAAGGATCCTATAGCCAATTCGTTAGTAATATGTTTAACGGAAATTATTGCAATTTGCACTATGTTCTTAGTCGTGTGACCGTTGTTTTGGGGTTACTGAGATAATACTCGATGAATGTAGAAAACATGCGTGTATCTCAATTTAGTTTAAGAAATATGCAATTTTGAATGAGTATATTTTTTTTCTCTTGGAATGTCGGAAAAATAAGACACATGCTTGATCCAGTTTGGGATATATTATTGACTGCTTTCGAGAACGCAGATAAATTTGAATCGCTTGTTTATTTATTTATTTTATTCTTATTTCATCTGACTTTTTTCAGTCTTAATGAAATCTAGGATGGGGAAAAGCCTCTTTGAGTAAACCATGCAGTTGGCTTAAAGAGGCGTAAAAACCCCATGTCTTTTCATACATATAACAATAAATAAAATTACAAATACAAATTGACAAACATATTAAAAGCTAAGTCAATAATCTAAAATAATTGAACACAACAATCTGCAAATGCGTCGCAGCTCACGCGTCGGAGGGTTGGAAACTCGGCGTAGTGTTGTAGAAGGACCATGTAATAAAAAAAAACAGCAGGTAATACACACTTTCGAAGTAGCAGTGA